TCATATTTATTAGAGGTGGGTTGCAAATTTGGTTCTGAGCTTCGCACCAGCCGTGGCAAAGGATGTTAATTACATAACTCACATTTTCCATAGGATTCAAAACAGATTACTCAGCTATTTCAGTTACCGACAACAGAATTTTTCCTTTGAGCTCTCATTAACTTTAATTTTGACAAAACAAATCAAAAATTTCTTGACATAATAAATGCCTTCAAAAATTTTCTACAGTAGGGCCGGCCCGTGGCTCACTTGGGAGAGTGTGGTGCTGATAACACCAAGGCCACGGGTTCGGATCCCATATAGGGATGGCCGATCGCTCACTGGGTGAGCGTGGTGCTGACAACACCAAGTCAAGGGTTAAGATCCCCTTACCGGTCATCTTTTAAAAAAAAAAAATTTCTACAGTAAACGTAAAAACTGGTCTCATTGGTCCATTTTGCATTACAACCCTCGATGTCGCCCCATGGCATAATGCTAAAATAAAGATCAGTGGATGGATTCTAAAAGGGACCAAAACAATTTTGTCTAGGTCTGAAGCTCTGATAATCTAGCTTAATTGAATTTTTTTAAAAAATCATGTATCCAGAAGAAATGATTGTACAGTAATTAGTCTTCCAGAAATATTTATTTCTCACAATTAAATTTAGATAAGTGTTAGGCACTTAAGTAGAGACTTCAGGGCTTCAATCTTTAACGGGAACCTGCAATGTCTCTAATAGCATCTTTAGGTCTTTAAAAAAGATACCCCTGATAACATTTTATTAACTTTCTGGACTCTTCCAGGTCACATGACTTAAAGAGGAAGCCATTTTACAGACTCCAACGACTGGACCATGGAGTGCCATGTGGAGCGGCTGTCCGATTCCTCAGAAAATGAGCCAACACCAACAACTTCAACATTGGAAGTAACGAACGACCAAGGGCTCCAAATTCTCGTAGACCATGGTGCCGAAACCATCTGCCACCGCAGCACCCAAAGTGCCGGCGACCGAGACACCCAAATTCTTGTCAGCCACGACGCTCAAGCTGATGCCGACAGCGGCGCCCAAGCGGCCGCCAAAACTCCTCTGAAAAAGTTACCGAAAGGGAAAGGTAGTTAGTTTTTATGTTTTTTCACGAGCCGAGGCGCTTCTTTGGGAGAAGCCGACCGCTAAAAGTCTGCGTAAACTGCTCGGGAGTAAATGGGCGTAACCGGTGCCCTGTGCGGGGATGTAGGGTAGACCCTGTTGGGAGAGGAGCGGCTAACTGTGCCAGGGACGTCGATTCTAGTTCTTCAGTGGGTTTGCGCCGCAGCGTATTTGTCACCAGATACGCGAGGTCTCCTCGCGAAGGGACAAATCGTCCAACCCGACGGATTCGAGGAGCACCTAAATGTGCCTCACCTTTTACCTTTTTAAAAAATTTATTTTGGGGGCCGCTGGCGGCTGTGGGGATCCGAACCCCTGACTGTGGTGTTACAAGGCTGCGCCCTAACCGGCCAGCCCCGCGCCTTGTACAAGCGTCGCGGTGCACTGGTAAAAATCCTCTGGCTCCCCAAAAGTCGCCCCTGCGTAAAGGTAACTTGTTTGGAAGCCTCGTAGTGTTCCTCGATGTCCCTGAGCGGTCGCCTGCCCTCGCCGCTCCGCACCTTCGGAGCCTTCCCGCGCCGCCACACGGCGAGCCAGGCCGCCGCCCGTCATTGTAACATTTTTTAATCATTTCATTATTGAGCTTTTTATGGGCAAATATCTTACCTATATTTGTATTTCTAGGACATATCACAGTGCCTGGTATAGTCCCTCAATAAATGTTTTTGAATAAAATGAATGGGTCAGTAGTGATACAGAGTTCCTTATACATGATCTTGTGATTTACCTAATGTGAAATCAGGTTTTCACCTTAGCCTTTTAAAAAATTTAATTAGAGTAAATATAACCTAAGTTTTATCTTTTTGGAAAACTATTCGCCTTTGGGGAGAAAACAGGAATAGTTTGATGACATGTAATCATTTCTCTGTACTCTTGTCCTTAGAAATTGTGTATGAGAGCTTACATGGTTACTTAAAAATACAAAACATTGTGGTAATATCGTGTTTAATTTTTAATTATATTTTATAATCCTTGGCTTACTTAGTTTTTTTATATTATAGAAATTCTAATAATGCGGGAGGCTTTCAAAGGAAATGGGATTAGAGCCGAGGAGCTGAACTTTTCCGTTGGAAGCTTAGAGTAAGGTTAGAGTCCGTGGTCACTGCCTCCAAACTGCAGCCAGCGGCTGTGAACTTGGAAGAAATGCCAAGTTAGGCTTGTGCTGACTTGCGCTGCCTGGAGCTTGCTGCCAGGCGCCATACAGCTAGTTATAAGTCCAATGGTAATTCCGCTAGAGCGAGGTGGAGCTAGGGGGCAGTGGTGGAAAGTGGTCCTGTTAATTTAATTACGTATCAAAGAATACTTGCTGGAAAAAAGTGGATGCCTCTTCTTAAAGTAAACACCATACAATCAGTTATTTGGGTCCTTGCCGGTAACAGATTTAAAGATAATTAAAACATTTCAACCAGGGTTGTCCACTTTTTCTCCCACCGGACCTTTTATTAGGGCGGTTTTCAAGCAACTGCTTTGAAATAGTTGCAGTTCTTACGTTCTTTCTTCCATAAAAGAGGAGTTGCCAAAAAGGCACTGAAGTGAACAAAATGCACTACTCTTAGTTCTGCTGAGAAATCTAAAAGTTACCATTGATCTGATAAAATCTTGCTTACCAGCTAATTCTTAAAATAATGTTTCTGCTCCCAACCTTGTGTTCATTACTCTGTTCCATTAGGCAATGTGCTCTGACCCCAGATTTTTATTTCATTTACTTTACTTTAATTACCTTTTTCCTTACGTTTTTGTTTTGTATTTATATATATGTATGTAGGCATATATACATATATTTATAACTGCATGAAGCAAGAAGAGAAAAAATGACTATCACAAATAATGTGTCCCTCTGCCCCCTCCCCATCCTGGGTGCCTGCTTTTCCACTGCTGACCTCTTTGTGCTTTCTATGCCTTTCTGATAGTCATACTAAAGAATTGAAATCATAACTGGTGAATGGTTTCACCCTATAGGGTCCAAGACCCATTTGTATGTGTTTTTAAAAGGTTCCAGTGCTTTTAAGTGAGATTCAAATTCAAAACTCAGAGCCCAGTTAATGATTTACAGAGTAGTAGGGACTGTATATTAACTGGAGTTTTTACTCATACTTAAGGTATAAGATCTTATAACTTGGTGTAGAGTTTTCTTATGTCCTTAGAATATAAGAAAACTTGGTCAGGTTTCATATATGTACACATTGCTTTCTTTCCACCTTTGAGAAAAATCTTCCTCAGAAGAAGTGTGGGCCCTAAAACCCAAAATGCAAGCCACTGCAGGTACATCCCAAATAGATAGAAAAGAAGATTAAAAATAAAGATTAACTTGGGATCCAGCAATCCCACTTCTGGGTATATATCCTAATGCCTTGAAATCAGTATGTTGAAGAGAGAACGGCAATCCCATGTTCATTGCAGCATTATTTACAATAGCCAAGTTATGGAATCAACTTAGGTGTCCATCAGTGGGTGAATGAATGAAGAAAATGTGGCATATACATAATGGAATACTATTCAGTCTTAAAAAAAAGAAGGATATTCTGTCATTTGCAACAACATACATAAACCTGGAGGACATTATGCTAAGTGAAGTAAGCAAGAAAAAGACAAAAACCACATGTTCTCATTTATATGTGGAACCTAAAACAATCAAACTCATAGAAGCAGAGAGCAGACGTTACCAGAGGCTAGGGGCTGAGAGGAATCAGGAGATGTTGGTCAAAGGGTAGAAGGTTGTAGTTAGACAGGAGAACTAAATGGTAAGTATTTAAGGTGATGTATATGTTATCAATCATATGTTTGACAGTGTGGAATGATCATCCCACACTGTGCACATCTATCATAATATCACTGTGCACCCCATAGTTATATATAACTACAATTTGTCAAAAAACTAACTTGGAAGAAATTACTCACTTTACCAAAGGTGTATTTTTTTTAAATAAAGGGATCCATCTTAGGATTCGTTTAAGTAGCTTTTAGGGGTATTTCAAATAAGTGGTGGTTGTGAGGATTAAATGAAATAATAGACTCAATACACTCAATGTAGTGCCAGGCACATGAATGCATGCAATACATGTTAGTAATGAATAAATCAAATCATATTTCAAATTCTATTCAGATCATCCCTTCAGGAATGCATCTATTACATGAAGTTAGTTGTACTCATATAGATAGTCTAGCTATAAGAACTGAACTCCTAACTTTTCCCCCCGGGTAGCTCAGAGCTGTTGATGCTGGCTCTACAGCCATAAAAAGCCACCTGATCTCCCATGGACTGCTTAATTTCTACCAATTCATTAAGGTGGATGAAATATAAAAAATTAAGCCCTTGTTTACTTCAAATCATTGTAAAACATTTCTCCCATCCAAGTACTAACCAGGCCCGACCCTGCTTAGTTTCCAAGATCAGGCATGTTCAGGGTGATATGGCCATACACATCATAAAACATTTCTGCAAGTGGTTTCCAGGTTGACTTAAGCCTTTGGTGTGTACTCTTCCCTGCAGAGGGCATGCAGTTTGCTTAGGTAGCCACCACTTTGTTGTTGAATTTTAGCCCTTTACCTGAGACTCTAAGAATATCATTGAGAACACTAAATCATGTTTCATAACAGCTTACTTCATTTTTTCATCAAATTAAATTGTGTAATTTGGACTGAGTTTGGAAAATTGTACATATTGGAGGGTAGATAAGGTGACTTTTAGAAATAATCATGTTATGTCAAATAAGGTATTGCAGAACTGTGCACATCATTCCAGTGAGGATTATGGGCAAGATCTTATATAATTTAACCAGTACTACCAGAAGTGATCAGCAGAGGGAGCAAGAGGAGGTTTTAGTAACTTTCTGTTGGTTTTTCTTTTTGTTTGTGTGAACTCAAAAACAAGAGATGAATAAAAGCCAGGATGAACTTCCTTATGAACTTGAGAACCAGTTTATATTGCGTCTGCCTCCGGTAAGAAACCTTTGTATCTCAGAACAAATATATTCAGTGCATAAGTATAGTTCTGCTTGGATTGTATAACATTTCTATTTCAGGTAGCTACAAAAACTCAGAACATTTGTTTCCCAGGAATTGCGTTCTATTAAACAGTCCTATCCTAGTGTGTACTCTTTTAGCAGCATTTCTGTCCTACTGTACATACCACCTATCTTGTGGGTTGATTTCCAGGCAAAACTGCTGTAACAATGATGGATCCACTCACTTATCACAGATGCTAACAGCCTGTTCCCTGTATAGCCAAGACTCTTCTGAAATCCTTTCTGTCACCTCAAAAGGGGCAGTGAGAAGGACCAGCACTGTGTCTCCTTTAAATTCATCACCATCCAAGGCTGTCGAAGCTCATCTCAACCTTGTGTTTGGGTCTCTTCCCCTATTGATACCTGTATTCAACCATTACTTGGTCTAGGAAGCTGTGTTAGGGATGGGGTTCAGAAAGCTATTTCCCCAGTTAGAGTTAATTAATATACCCAGTCAACTGCAGCTAAGCCTTTCCTTAGCAAATATAACTGAAGTGTAGCAGTGAGAGGCAGGAATGTAGAGCTAGAAGAAGGCGTTAACTGTAGCTGCTAAAAGACAATGAGGAGATTAGAGTTAGCCTCATCCTGATTGACTTATACAATGCATGGTATCTCCTGGTATGTGGCATTGCTAACTTTTTGGAGGTATGAGGTTTTAATTAAGGGAGGGCTTTCTTTGATATGTCTATTCTATTAGTTGCTAAGTAGACAATTAATCCTAGTTTTTCATTTACCTCCCTTTTAGGAGCATGCTTCTGCTGTCAGGAACGTAATGCATTCTAGATGTGTCACCATGAAGGATAAACTAAAAATTGACTTAATTCGTAAGTAGTTAATATCCATTCACCATGCACTGAATAATAATTTATTAGAGGATTGCTATGTGCCAGGCACTGTATTAGGTACTAAGGATATGAAAAGAATAGAATATGGTCTCTGCCTTGATGGACTTATGGTATAAAGAGGCTTATGTCACTGACACCTCTTCTTTTAAGAGAAAAGGAATTATGAAACATTAGGTGAATAATTATCATAGTATATATAAGCAAGAACATGGGGGTCAACTGTAGGATTTGTATACTGCTGGTAAGTCTCCTATATAAAAGCTTTATGATTTCTGAATGTCCAAGGGAATGACAAATAAATATACTGTCCTTTGGTTACCTAGGTGACATATCTTTCTTTTAAATAATATTTGTTATATTTGTAAATCATATATCCAGTAAGGGATTAGTATCCAAAACATAAGGAACTCGAACAGTTCAATAGCAAGAAAATAAATAAATCAATTGAAAAATGGGCAAAGGACCTGAAGAGACACTTCTTAAAAGCAGGCATACAAATGGCCAACAGGTTCATGAAAAAATGCTCAGCATCACTAATCATTAGGGGAAGCCACAATGAGATATCACCTCACACCTGTCAAAAAGAAGATAACAAATGTTGGTGGGATGCAGAGAAAAGGGAACCATCGCACACTGTTGGTAGGAATATAAATTAATAGTCATTATGGAACCAGTATCTCCTGGAGTTTCCTCAAAAAACTAAAAATAGAACTGCCATATGATCCAGCAATCCCACTTCTGGGTATATATTCAAAGGAATTGAAATTAATATGTTGAAGGGATATCTGCACTCCCATGTTCATTGCAGCATTATTCACAATAACCAAGATACAGAATCAACCTAAGTGTCCATCAATGGATGAATGGATAAAGAAAATGTGGTATATATACACAGTGGAATACTATTCGGCCTTAAAAAAAGAAGGAAATTCTGTCATTTGGGATAACATGGATGAATCTAAAGGACATTATGCTAAGTGAAATAAACCAGACATAGAAAGACAGGTACCACATGACCTCACGTATATGTGGAATCTAAAAAAAGTTGAATTCATAGAGTAGAGAGTAGAATGATGGTTACCAGAGGCAGAGGGCAGGGGAAGCAAGAGGATGGGGAGTTGCTGGTCAAAGGGTACAAAGTTGCGGCCAGAACTGATGAATAAGTTTTGAGATCTAATGCACAACAGAGTGACTATAGTCAATAACAATGTATATTTCAAAATAACTAAGAAAGTAAATTTCGAATGTATTACTACAAAAAATGTTAAATGAGGATATGTTAATTATCTTAATCATTCCACATTATATACATATATCAAAACACATGATACTCCATAAATGTAATACAATTATGATTTGCCAATTAAAAATAATATTAATTTTAAACAGCATAAATAAATAAATAAATAATAAATGTTTTCGCATAAGGTTTGTCTGCCTGAAACATCACACAGTAAAATAAATATATAAAAATAAATAAATAATAATTGTTAGGTTTTTTCATTTGTTTGTTTAACTGAAACATAATACATATTTGTGGGGTACAGAGTTCAACATCAATGCCTATTTACAATTGTTAGTTGTTGTTTCTTAGTACAGAGAAGTATATAAAGAAGAAAACAGAAAGTGGCCCATAATCCCACCACTCAGTTAACCCTTGCTTTCATTTTTTAAAAAAAAGTAAGACAAGTTCATGGTTAGAAAATTGAAATAAAACAGGAAAGTTCAAAAGGAGAAATGAAACTCTCTTTCTCCACAGTACTCCAACCTTAGTGCCAAATAGAACAATATTAGCCATTTCTTCTTGTGTTTCTTTACAAACAAAACTTTTATGCATAATACAAGAATTTAAATAATCCCTCTCTCTTTTCTTTCTTTTTTTTTGGCAGCTGGTCAGCACGGGGATCTGAGCCCTTAACCTTGGTGCTACAAGGCAGTGCTCTAACCAGCTGAGCTAACTGGCCAGCCCTATATTTTTAAAGTTAATTCACACAAAAATGATTATGTCAAACGTGGTTCTGCATCTTTCTTTTCTCACTTAGTATTAGAAGATTACACCTGAATTCTCTTGTGTCAAAAGACATTCATGTTTGAGACATCTGAACAGGATTCAGAGTTCAGTATATGACTATTGTATAGAATTTTATCTTTGTGAATCTAAATGGAGATTTTAACATGACACTTACTAGCACCATTCCAGGGTCAACCCTTCCCTCATCCAAGCTTTTGAAAACACACATGTACAATGACATGACTGAATGCTTCTAACAAAAAGGAATGGATTTAAATGAATGGAATTTGCTTTTCAGGATAAGAATGAAACATTTACCACTTCACCCACATTTAATTCACAACCATTAACAAGAAGGTTAGCTACCTTTTTTTTTTTTAATAAAGATGACCGGTAAGGGGATCTTAACCCTTGACTTGGTGTTGTCAGCACCACGCTCACCCAGTGAGCAAACCGGCCATCCCTATATAGGATCTGAACCCATAGCCTTGGTGTTATCAGCACCGCACTCTCCCGAGTGAGCCACGGGCCGGCCCAGGTTAGCTACTTTTGAATGAATGACATGAACTGGGAAAAAGGAGCTCCATATACTCTCCCTTCTTTTCTCTGGGAAGTTACTAATTGTGTACACAATTCTAGCATCATGAGAAATAGTAGGTTTCACTGAGAAACTAGTCTGTCCTATGTAAGTCTTCATTATTGAAACCATAGGAGGCTTAAGAGTTCATTGGTAAGGTGTCAACTTTAACCTTCTCTACTTCTCTTCAGCTGATGGGCGTCCTGCACGTGTTGAGGTAGGCGATGTTTCTCTAACTGCTAAGCTGGTTGATTTGCCTTGTGTTATCGGAAGCCTGAAAACTGTTGATAAAAAGACCTTTTATAAAACAGCAGATATTTCCCAGGTATGAACTAGTTTTCTTAATCTACGAGCTCTTACATCCTTCAAGGAATCCCTTTCTCCCTCCTTTTTTCCTTCTTTCAATACTCCTTTCTATTTGGTGAATGGCTGCTTGCCATGTCTAATTTCCAGATCTAATTGCATAGGAATAAAATGTCATTTTCTGGTTTGGTGTTTGATCCTTAACTTTACATTACTTTATTTAATTCAAATAGTTTGTAGAGCCCCCTGTTTGCCATTTATAGTGACTTTCACTAATTGAAAAATATGAACAGCTGGAATTTTCTTCTGAACTTGCTGAAGCAGTATGCTGTTAAACTCTGGAGGTTTAAATTGGTTCTTATTCATAATCTCTTCTGTTGATTTCTTATTTCCTCTCTAAATCAAAATGCTAAGATATATCTATTTTCAACAAATTCCCTCTGCAGTGGTAAGCACTCTAGCTAAAAAAAAACCTCAGTCCATATACAGTACTGCTGAGGGTGGGGGAGAGAATATGAATGTGTATTGCATAATACTTGGTTGTCTGAAAATGCCAAGTATTAGTTTCTTCTGTGCTCCAGGATTTTTGGTGGTAAGAATGATCATGGTTCATTACTAGTCCAAGATTTGTGTCCATAGTCAACTTCTTTGTCTTTGTTAAATGTAGATGCTTGTATGCACTGCTAATGATGATATCCAGTCTTCTCCAGAAGAACCAGAGACCTCTACTGATCCTAAAGAAATAAAGAAAAATGAAAAGACGAGACAGAAAAAATATGCCTGGAAGCACGGCAGTAAGTCACCAGCCCCTTGCTCATTCTGGCTGACTACATTTATCTGCTGGATCCTAATTCCTTGTGAACCAGGGACCTCTTACCATACTTAGGTGTTTGGATCATTAGGCTCCTTCCACTTAAAGGAAGGAGTCATGTCGTGATCCGGTGGCATATAGCATGACCTTTCTCTTTATCAAATTCACATAGATAGATATATGTGACTACCATCATATATACGTTTCACCATGTTGTATTTATTTTAGTTACTCCACCACTCAAGAATGTCAGAAAGAAAAGGTTCCGGAAAACAGTAAAAAAGGTTAGTCGCATGCTATTTGTGTATCTGCTGGGTAGCTTAGAAGAGGATTATGAGCAGGAAGGACAGGGAGAAAGTCAGTTGGAAATTAATTTGTTCATATGTTCAATAAACATTTATTGAGTGTGAGCTAAATGCCAGGCACTGTATGCTAGCAGTTGGGAATATAGCAGTGCATAAAAACTGAGCTGATCCTTGAGTTTATAGACTAGTCGTTAGGGATCTGGAAGGACCATAAATTTGAAACTTCTGCTAATGCCTTTAGTTTCTGATTGCAAGATCTAGTTTTAAAGTGAACCCATCCAGAACCTGAGAATTGGGAATTGTGGTTATATTCTTAACCTTACTTCAGGCTGGTAAAGCCTTGGGAAGCTATAGGAGTCCTGTGGCTTGGCTTCTTTTTTTAAAAAAATTGAGCTTTTTATTTTGAAAAATTGTAGAATCACATGCAGTTGTAAGAAATAAAAGAGATATCATGTACCCTTTCCCCAGTTTTCCCCATTGTAACATTTTGCAAAATTATAGTACAATATCACAAACAGGAAATTGACATTATTACAATTCACCAATCTTATTCAAATTTCTGCAGTTTTACTTGTACTCACTCATGTGTTTGTGTACGTGTGTTTAGTTCTATGCAGTTTTATCCCATATGTAAGTGCATGTGTCCACCTACACAGTCAAGATACTAAACAGTTTAATCACCACAAGGATCCCTCATCTTTCCCTTTTATAACCATACCCACCTTCCTCCTACCTCACATCTCTGGTCCCTAACACCTGGCAATCACTAATCTGTTCTCCATCTCTGTAATTTTGTCATTTCAAGAATCATATAAATGGAATCATATAGTATATAAACATCTGAGACTAGCAATTTCCCCCACTCAGCACAACACCTTAAGATCTGTGCAAGTTTTTGTATGTATCAATAGCTTCTTCCTTTTTATTGCTGAGTAATATTCCATTGTATGAATGTACCACAGTTTAACTGTTCACCCAATGAAGGACATCTGAGTTGTTTCCAGTTTTTGACTATTATAAATAAAGCTGTGAACAGGTTTTTAATGTGAACCTAAATCTTCAATTCTCTGGGATAGATGTCCAGGAGTACAATTGCTGGGTCATATGGTAGTTGCACGTTTAGTTTTATAAAAAAACTGCCATTTTCCAGAGTGGCTGTGTCATTTTATATTCCCACTAATAAGGTATGAGTGATCCAGTTACTTCACCTCCTCACTAGCATTAGGTGTTGTTATTATTCTTTATTTTAGCCATTCTGATGTGTGTGGTGATCTCATTGTGTGTATTAATTTGCATTTCTCTGATGGTTTATGATGTTGAACATCTCACATGCTTTTCCATCTATATATCCACTTCAGTAAAATGTCTTTTCATGCCTTTTGCCCACTTTCTAAATGGACTTTTTTATTGTTGAGTTTTGAGAGTTCTTTTTGTATTCTAAATGCTAGTCTTTTGTTAGATATACAGTTTACAAATATCTTCTCCCCGTCTACAGCTTGTCTTTTCATCATCTTCACAGGGTCTTTCGAAGAGCAAAAGTTTTTAGTTTTGATGAAGTTTAATTTATTAATTTTTTTATGTTAAGGATCTTGCTTTTTGTGTTAAATCTAAGAACTCTTTGCCTAGCCCAGATCCTGAAGATTTTCTCCTTTTTTACTAAAAATTTTATATATATATATATATATATATATTATTTTTTTTTTTTTTTTTTCATGACCGGCAACGGATCGCAACCCTCGGTGTTGCGCCCGCACCTCGCTCAGCCAGTGAG